GAAGAGGAGGAGGAAGATGAGGAGGAGGAGGAAGAGGAGCAGCTCTTCTCTGGAAGCTGCTGCCTGTGTCTGGGTTCTCTGTCAGATGATCCACTGTGCTCCATCGTGGAGCTCCGGCTCTGGAGGATCATCCCTCCATCAGAGCTGCTGGGGTTCAGTCTGTTCTGGTTCAGAGCTCATCTTTCCTCCTGTGTCTGATAACCTCCACATGCTGCTTCCTGCTTTCATTCAGGTGTGGGAACTCTGGGACTCTTCTTTTGGCTCTTTTTTGGTCATTTTAGCTTCTTGTAGCTTTGTTCTAGCATTTTTAGCTCTTTTTTTGCTATTTTTGCTGCATTTTTTGGTGATTTTAAGCCTTGTTTTCGCTTTTTTAAAAGTATTTTCTAGGTAATTTTGAGCCTTGTTTTTGCTTTTAGGTGAACATTTGGTCAATTTAGCCTTGGTTTAGCTTTTTTGTTGTATTTATGGTCATTTTTAGCCTTGTTTTTCCTTTTTTTGGTGTGTTAAAACACCCAAAAAAAGGTGAGCATGCATCCCTCCATCAGAGCTGGGTCAGTTCTGGTCGTGGACTTTCTTTGGCTCAGATGTCAACATTTGAACGGATGCCTTCATGAACAGATCAGAAATGTTGGTAAATTGAGAGTAAACGGGTCAGATTGTGGGGAGAACTGTGGGGGGGGTTTGGCTCCATTATTCTGAGCATGTTTAAGTGAAAAATCTGAACTTCCTCAGATGTTTTCGGGACTCTGCTCTCTGACTGAAAGGCAGTCGAGCGGTGGCAGACAGCCGGCGCGACCTTTGACCCCCGCCCCGCCCCCCCGCCTGCCCTGAAGTGCTGGTTTTTGTTTAGGTTTTGTGTGTTTAGGTTTTGTGTGTTTAGGTATTGTCTCTGAGCAGAGCGTGAAGCCGGTGGAGGACCCCAGGGGTCAGAGGTCTCCTCAAAAAAAAAAAACCTAAATTGGAGGTTTTAGTGCCTTAATACAGTAAAAAAAAAATGAAATTAGAGATTTTAGTGCCTGAATACAGTAAAAAACATTTAATCTGGAGCTTGTAATGCCTGAATATAGTAAAACAAAAACAGAAATTTAGAGATTTTAGTGTCTGAATACAATAAAAGAAAAAACAGAAATCTGGAGCTTTTTGCACCTTAAACAGTAAAAACAGAAATCTGACGGCTGTTTTTTGTATTCTCGTCTCACTCTGTTCTGCTCCCGGTTCAAAACACC